TAGCATAGTGCCTGGAAAAGGAAAGTTCTGTTGACCTACAGTCAATAAGTATGTAGGGTTTGAAATCCTTCCTCTTAGGACGATGGAATGATTTTATATTGGTTTGGAAATAGTATTATTTGCACATGCAAGGGTTCTCTGATGTCAGTGTTTAAATGTTATGAATGCGTGTTGAAAGCCGACATGGTAGCGACAGTGCAGCTGTACATAGTCAATATTTGTGCGCTGGTATCAAGTTACTTTAACAATATTTTTGACATGTTACTTTTGGCAGGGCAGAAACGCTTCACACACTATTCAAACAACGTAAAAAGTCTCCACTTACACTCAGATTTTGCAGAGATAAAAAATACACATATAGGCTGACCCTAAGCCTTGTGCAAACTGGATTATTGCTCTCTGGTTGGACACAATGCAGCAGAGAAACTACAGCTACAGATCCATTAATGATGTTAATGTCCATTAACGGGTCTATATCATTCTAATACCTGAAGACTGCAGGTAAAAAGCAGTTTGCAAAGTTGAGTGACAAACAGCAAAACATCTGAATAGATCAAATGATAATATACAATAGTCGTAAAAGCAGATAAAGAAAATAATCACATGGAGACACAACTGCATTCTGCTGAGCTGACTCCATGCACTGTCTAGGGCAGGGGTGGGGAACCTTTTTCCTCTCAAGGGCCATTTCAATTTTTTCAACATCCTCCGAGGGCCGTACAGATGATTGACCTCTGCTTCAAAATACTAAAATCACAGCCCATTCATTTCACCTTTCTTTCATGCTGTGCAAATAAAAAGAACCTCTTAATCCAGATATCTCACCATGACTCGATGTATGCATGCACGTGCACGGTTGTGGCATGACCACCAAAACAGAAAGATATGGACACAAGATGTGTGCAAATGTATTTAGTTTCCTATCCATGTGAACATGATTTAAGTGGAGGGAGACCTAACCTCCTCTAGGGGGGTCCGGGGGGCATGCTCCACCGGGAAGATTTTTTTTAAATGTTGAAGTTAAAAGCATCAATCTGGTGCACTTTGAGAGCAACATTAGGAGATCTATGAATACATCTCTCAACACCCATATGAAACAGAAAGTAAGCAGATTTTCTTTATGGATATTTTACAAATCACTCCCCTTTTAAACTGTATTCTTATTTATTAATAACAACTTTTTTTTACTGTCATATAGTATTTTATACCTGTTTACTTTATTCTCTTATTTTTTTATAACTATAATGATCATATAAAGATATGCTTTTACCTCACTGGTTGTAGAAAAAGCTTCTTATATTCGTTAGCATAGCTAGCTAAACAGATGCTAATAACAACAAAGTTATTGACTGTATGATCAGTATGACAGATGAACAGATCGCCACTGGGCTTTCAACTAAAGACACAGCCACGCACAAACTGCGGCATGTGTACGGCTCTTTATGGGTACTGACATTTTTGGAAGTGCCGGAGCAGCGTTCTGGTGCTCTCCGTCAGAACTGCACCCCTGTCAGACGAGACATATACCACGTGATGACACGTTAGGCTCGTGTTGTGTTCAAGGACCCTGACCTTGGCCAGGAAAAACAGGCACTCGCTTGTTTAATTTTTTTGCGGTCTAGATTTCTTTAATTTTTTTCTTTTTTGCGTGTGTTTATAAATTACCTCGAGGGCCGTACCAAATGGTCTCGCGGGCCGGCCGGAGGTTCCCCACCCCTGGTCTAGGGGTTGAAATAGCAAGAAAGCAATCAGACTTTAATTTCAGTCTGTGAAACATCTACCTTTTCCTAATGAGAAGAGCCCTCAGGCACAGTGCGTCGCAGCAGCCATCACACATTAAGCTCAAACAGATCATCCAGAGCAGTCACCAGGATTGAGTCCACATGGGGCCATCAAAGGGACATTTGTTGAGACTGACAAGAGGCCAGCTGATGCTCTCTGAATCCTCACCAGGAGTGAGAGGGTTAGGCAGCTGATGCCACAACACAAGGAGGTACAATGGTTAAGTCCTTCTAGAAGTAACATGAATACATTTTGCTAATAAAATGTCGAAGAGAAGAGTTGAATCCTGGAGAGAACAGGTTTCTTCACATCTTCTAAGGACAGTACAGCAGGTCCTTCCTTCCTGCAGCACTCAGACTGTACTACCACCACAAACTATGGTACACCCCCACACACACAGACTGGAATACCCCCGATGTGCAATAACACTGCCTGTAAATATACAACAACATTGACACATGTGCAATATACCCTCGTGCAATTCACGCTTCATTTTTTCATCACATGTATTTAAAATCTGAAAACAGTACCATGCTACCTCTAGTTATGTGGTCACTTAAAATAAATTATACTGCTACTTTTTTTTTACAGTGGTGTACTTATCTGCTATTTGTTTTTTTTACTTGTTGTGTTTTTTATTATTACGTCTATTCTCTTTACTTTCTCTGCACTCTACTCCTGCTGTTGTAATAATGTAAATGTCCCCCTTGCAGGGCAAATAAAGGAATTCTGATTCTGATTACATTCCTGGCTCTCCTGTAGAAGTTATAAATATTACAGGTTCAGATTGGCCCATTTTCTATTTCTCCAGCGACCATGAGGCCTCGAGTTGTCTCTGATCAGTGAATCTGAACAGTGATGAACCTCAGCTCATCCACAGCTCAGCACAGGAAACGGGCACGGCTGCTACGGCCTCTGGAACAGCTGCACCGCCAGCCTTTTATGCACAAGTATAATTCTGCACCTAAGGCCATTAGTCATTTCAGGGGTGAACTCTGCATCCCCAACAATAACACAAAAAACTGCATGTGGTTAAATATTATACTATACAATAGATAGAGTTCTAGTCCAGAGTTGAACCTTCTGGCATGTTACAAGTGATGCTGACGTGAAAAACAGACACCAGCAGGATGTTTATGAATAGTTTGTAAAGCCAGGGGATACAGTACAACAATGTTAAGAACACTATTCCCTACTATTGTGTAATAAAACAATATTTAGGCTGAGGGACTTTTGTTGCAAGTTCATAATACAGTGAGCTCTGAAGCATTTGCTATTATTGGAATAAATACACATTATGTGATTCCAATGTACAATGAGTATTGATCCGTTTTACAATGAATATGAAACTAATTCTTCTATAGGTTTTTGTGCATGTAAATGGTCTGCAAAGGCTAAAATCCCTGTGTTCCCTCCAGAGGGAGTTCCTCTCCCACACACTAGTCTGGTCCAGTTACATGATGGCTTAAGTGCTCATGTTAATTAATGTGCAATGTCCCTTCTTAAATAAATAAATACAAATAAAATAATTTCATAAATTCCTTCATTGTTAATAACATTATAAACAAATTCACCTCAAGAAATAACATACACAACAAGATTCTCTTCTTACAAAATACGGCAATACAATCCTTATTTCAGCAACATGTGAACAACCATTATATGGGTGTACACTGTGAAGTGTGTGTGTGTGTGTGTGTGTGTGTGTGTGTGTGTGTGTGTGTGTGTGTGTGTGTGTGTGTGTGTGTGTACGTTTGTATGTGTGTTGGCAAACGGGAAGGGAAAGAGTGAGAGGAGGAGTAATATTGTTGTGTATTCTGTACTCATAACTTGTCTAAACTTCTGTAGGAAAACAGTGTGAGCATGTTCCCTTTAATATATTTCCGCTGACAAGTTAAATCCTGGTCTTTCCAAATTTCCAAGAAACCGGTCCTATGTTAGCTTTGGCCTGCATTTCTGTTAAGCCCGCGTCACACTGTCCCGAAATTGACACCAGATGGACAGACGATAAAGGAAATGTTCAAATTCGGCTCTGATCGTAACAACATCGGGCCGTTCGTGAGGGCATCTTAAGCCGTCGTATGACCGCCGGTGGAGTTTCTCAGGCTCCGGCAGTAACTTCGTGAGCAGTGGCAAAATCTTTGGCATGCCAAAAAATTGCCGAAAAACCTTGCGAAGGTTCATTTTCGTGTTGAACTTGTGTGTCCATTTTGCCCTTCGTAAGGCCAGCGTGAGGGCATCTTGTCAAATCGTGTCATCTTCGTCTTTACTTCGTGTGATCATCGGTGCCATCGGGCATTTTTCGCCTCACGAAGACAATACGAAGGAAACAAGAAGCTGCCCGATTGTCTTAGGAAGGCAACACGACTACGTGAAGCCCTCGCAATGCCGTTGTGTAGCCATCGTATTATAGTACGATGACATCGAGATGGGACCGCGATGTGCAATGTTTCCTTGCAGATCGCTTCTCTGGTTGTTTTATTGCACAACAAAATCATGTAAACATATTATGTAAATAACCCAATTTGTGTTGAACTGAAAAGGATATTACATTGTTTTTGTTACTTTCGTTGCAGTTGTATGTCTTAAATGTAATTTAGGTTAACTTCCTGTTTTATTTAGATGCTTTTATTTTGAAGGCGAGTTTACGCTGTTGAGAGGAAGTTGTTGTTGCTATGGAAACAACATGACTGAGAAAACTTAATATCTTCTTCATATAAAGACGGAGAAAGTAAAGATCAAAGTCTGAAAATATCAGTGACAATTTTTATTATATACAATCTCAAGTTTCCAAAATGTAAAGTCCCATAGTACTTTAACATAATTTTTTTTTGTTACTTTCATTGCAGTTGTATGTCTTAAATGTAATGTAAATGTTGCCTTCGTGTGTGGTTTGGGCGCCATCGTGTGGCCTTCTGTAGGCATCGTACTTGCTTCGGCTGTTGCTTGGCCGTTGACCAAGTTCGGGGCCATCTTCGTGCGAAATTCACAATTCCATATTGGTATTAATTTGTTATTGATTATATTCATTTTGATAAACGTTTTCTAAACTTACACAATTAAATGTGTTTTCTTTGAGAATATTGTAGTGGTGTTTTCGACCCTTTCTATTGTGAAATAGGTGCACAAGGCCTTGATTGGCTCTATAGGTTTTCTTTACATTTCTGTTATAACCTTCACTGTGTGTGTGCGTGCGTGTGGTAAAAGGCGGGACTCACTGTCTGCTGCCGCGCTGCCATTGGGCAACGTGCCCAGATCAACAGCCATACCGTCCAGACAGACGTTGAGCTCGCCTCCCACTACAACCGAGCCTTTGTTCTCCGTCTGCAGCACCAGACTCAGCTGGACGTTCTCCACTAGAGGGGGGAGGAGAACAGAGGGAGAGGATGAGTGGTTGAGATGGTGGAGGAGGAAGGTGGTTGAGTGGAGATGGAAACGAGGAAATCCCACAGCCTGTTATTGCTGTTAAATGTGTGAACCCACAGTGATTCTGACACATTTGTAACAGAAGAGGTATTAGATTAGCAAAGATTATCCAACAGAGCTGAGACATTTTATCTTTATGGATGTTGGGCATAACTTCATAGTGGGTTCAGAAGCAAATTCTGTGGCAGGAAGTGACATTTCTCCAGTTGGCTACTGACTAACTTGTTCAATATAACAAGTACAGACAGTGCAGAATATGGTCCTGAATGCTTAGGCCGATTAAACTTATTATATTATCAAAATGCCAAATGTTAATATTGTAACTGTTCTTTGTTCAGTTAATATATCGTTTTAGTGTCAGTACCAAAACTCACATGTTGTACGAGCACCAATATCGAAACCTTGATGCAGTTATACACAGACAGTAGATAGCACATGATGGGAAATGCACTCTTGGCAGGTTAACAAATGGACCTGGAAGCATATTGCTGCAGCTCCTCCAATAAAGGGTTAAACAGAAAGTCAGTGATGCCAGTAAGCAAGTCGGTCACCATTTCAAGGAAACACCAGAGGAAACCTGAAGGAGTCGGGTTAATGTGATGAAGCTAAGCACAATGGAGGCAATTCTCCTGAAGAATATTATCAAATGTTTTATTTACAGTAAGACCTGAACACAGTCACTGATGTGATATAATTCAACCTCACAGGTTATAAGCAGTTACAGAGAATTCTGTTTAAACAATTCAAATTCAGAGTACTGAAAAATGAACTAGAGCAGACCTATTGCACCTCATCAGAGTCAAAGGATTGTCTGAATGTGGTTCAGAAATGCAGTGGTATTGCGGAAGACATCCTGTGTATCTTTTGCTATGCCTTTCTCATTATCACGGGCCGTCAGATTTCATTGTTGAGTGTTTAAGTAATCCTCATTAACACGTAAGTGAGGAACCACTCTTTCACATAACCACTTTTAAGCCATTTGCCTTCTGGTGGTCACCTGATTTTTACATGAAAATGTAAAGGAAGCCAGATATAGACTTCACTGCTGTGAGATGAATACATTGACTTTTAACATTGAGCATTATGTGCAAGTCTCCTATATGTTTTTGTTTTTTTATGGAAAACCTTACATCAGATTGAACTTCGCTATTTGTGAACTTGGAGATAAATGTAGAAATATTTGGAGCAGCCAAAAAAGAGCATGTACAGAACTTGTGAACAGAGTATTCCTTTCCTTGGTGGTGGAATTCAAGTGTAGGAAGATGAGCTTTTTTCTGAAAGATGAATTGTATTTCCTGTTAAGAGGGTAAAAAGGTGATGCTATACAATGGACAAAATGGAATAGTATGAATATTACTTTTTATTTCAGATTTGCTCCCTGGTCTTTTTAATAAAATAAACTTCAGCTAGCTAAAGATGAAAGACTTCAGAAGAAAACCCTTTCACACAGTTCTAAATGACTGTCTCTTCTCCCCACTTCTGTTATTTTCCAGTTCCAGTCTTGTCTTGTTCTCTCCGTACTTTTCCAATGTATATGAATAATATTGCTGCAAACTCATACTTGTCCCATGTTTTTGTTCCAGTTTATCAAAATAGTAAAGTTAAGTTATGCTATTTTAAACACTATGGGGAAAAGTCATCAAAATATCTTCTCATTAGTTTCCTGTGTGTCCTTACTCTTGCCGTGGTGTGTGCGCAGTGTGTCCAGCAGGTCGATGGTGGCGCTGCCCAGGAGCTCCTTCCTCAGGGTGTGGCAGCTCCACAGCTTCAGGTCCAGACGGCTCTGAGGCGTCACATTACTGCGCAGCACACAGCAACACACACATTATCAACTCATCTCATCAAAAGTACAACAAATACGGCATGCAGGCAGATTTCTTCAAAACTGTTTTACCCCGCTGGTTTTAAAATGAGCTTCCATTTAAAAAAAATGTTGCATATCCAGCAGAACTTTCAAAATGAAGCACCTCTACTAGAGGGGAATACTCTTATTTAGAACTTTTTCATCATAAGTACACATGCTTAACAACAAAGAGGGATGAATGCACAATTGTTTGAAGAAGTTTACAAGCGATAAAAGAACAGGATTGTACTAATGTCAGTGTGTTTGTGTGTGCGTTCTCACAGGGTGAGGTCTTCGTTCCACTGCAGCTCGAGGTGTCCGCTGCGTTTGCCGGTTTTTTTGGTTTCGCTGCTCAGGCCGTCTGCAGTCACCTCGACGAAGGAGCTGAGTCTGGAGGGACGGTTTGGCAGCTTTGGAGACTGAGGCTTTGCTGAAACCACTGAGAGCACACACACACACAAAACAATAAGAAGAACTGTCAGAAAGGAAAAGATTAGATTTGTCTTTTTTTTTGTAAAACTGGCAAATCTCTTGAAAAGTAAAAAAATTGTTGTCGCATTAAGATACACACGGTTTGACTGTGGCCACAGTTCAACCACAATAAGGAAATGTATTTCTATTTATGAACGTGTTACAGGTCAAAGGTTCCATATCAGAGCAAACACAAACCAGCTGATCCGAATCAAACACAAAGACAAGCTAATGACTGTAGCACTTTAGACATTTCTTTGGCTCACAGTAAAATACAGACCTATTTAAAGCCCTTCAGACTTGCTTATTGACTCCAATCCACTCACACCGTTCATGATGTAACTGTGTACAATAAGACCTAGATCTGGTGAAGGAGCTTTTAGTTGTTCTGCTACTCTGGAACAAACTGCTTGGAGACCTGAAACCTGTCCCGCCGTATCCTCATTCATAAGATCATGATCAGGGCAGCTACAGTGTGACACATTATATACATTCACTACACTTATATCAGTAGTAAATTCAAAACATTAAGCTCTCTAAGGTCACGGGTTGACATTTGTATTTATTCAACGATGTACTTAAAATAAAGTTAAAACTAGTACTTTTCCAATGTTTTGTTACAGTTCATGCAGAAGGGATCAGTGATCTGTTCCTCAGCATCACTGGAGTAAACTGTTTCTGCACTTTGTATAGAGGACGTCTACAAACGTCACTGTTTATACTAAAAGAAAATGATATAACTATGGCGCCTTCAGATCAAATTCAATCAATCAAACTACAACTTTCAAATGCCAAATCCAGTCATAATAAAAAAAGCCAGACTTTTTGCAAAAATCTAAGCGTTCTTTGTTTTCCTCTGTGAGGTTTTGCTCGAGCTGGTTTACGACTGTTCAAAATGAGTTTGAGTTTTTCCCAGATGTGAGACATTTTGCCTTGAGCCATGCCAATATTTTTTTTCTTTTGTATGCTTGGAGGTACACCCTCCATACTAAACATTAGTATGCTGTATGCATTTGAGACAAAACTCCTCTGGTAAGCAAACAGACACACATAAACATTGCCCTCTAGTGGAAAAAAGGAATAAGACATCTGGGATACACATTTAGTTCACTCTCGTGAGACTTGGGTCAATGAAAAGCTTTCAAAGCTTTTCAAGACGTACATCAGAGTGCTTCTATGGACAAATATTTTGATCTATGTTTTTTATGCTGGTATTATCACCATTTGAACCTCACAACCTAATGAAATGAAGGCATGAGACACATTATAACTGCTGTCTGACCCTCATGTAAAGACTTCCTGATGTTCAGTGGCTCCTTACAGAGAACTGATGAAACCCCTTCTGAAAACATCTCTCTATATTTGTGATAGTTTGCTAAATGTCAGCTCTGCAATTGATGTAAAAGCCTACAGCTGGGCTTAGAAAGGCTTAGCGACTTCCTGTATGCAGACATCATGGTGTCAGTCATATGAGAGCCGATTTGTTCATCCTGAATCACTTCTGGATTGCAAACTGAGAAGCCTGGTAGTGTTTCTCAGGGTAAGTGTGATCAGGACAGGTGATGGATGAATAAATGATGAGAGAGAGAAAGGCATTCTTCCACAGACAACACATTTGCAGATCTCTGAAGAGAAGGAAGGGAGGATTGAGAGGAGGGGGACAGCAGATCCATGGTGAAGTAGAGGAGTGAAATAATATTGGAAGTGTAGAAAAGAGGAAACGGGAAGACCTGGGTCACACTGTACTTTTATGGGCTGTTCATAGGAAAGGTCTTTGAGGAGATACAGACACAAAAAACATCAATGCAACTGTTTCATGCTTAAACTTATGAATTCACTTGAGGGATATTACACCAGTGATACTTAACTAACCAGGGCTTTTGCTCTCTATCGATGATACCCTTCATTTCTGTGTTTTCAGCGTTTTGCTTATGCAGCGCTTTTAGTAAACGCTGCGCATGTTTCCTCAAGTTGGTGAATGTGGAACAGCTGCTCTCAGAGTAAAAAGAAAAAAAAAGTTTCAAATTGATTCTGCGCAAAACCACAGATCACTTATATCCACAAACACAGATGAAGGATGATTTAACATCAGGAACTGTTATGTCGATACAATAAAAAGGGTAAAGGTTGGTTTTAAAACCTTACCCTAAAACCTAAAAGTTTGGTGAAAATGTTTAACTATATCGACCTGGCGGTACTTTATGAATATTAGCTTACCGGTGTACTTAAACGACGGTGATTGCACTACAGTGGATACGATGCGCCCTGGTGACATTTAGTGACTTGACTGTTGTGCCGATTCTTGCTAAAGAGAGTTTATTAACAGCGGTTGCATATCCTTCAAAATAATAATTCCTTACATTTATTATAGCGCTTTTTCCAGATGCTCAAAGCGCTTTACAAATACACATTACACACATGTAACGGTCATGTACTGTGGACAATACCCACAGAAGCTAATTCAGGTGAAGTGTCTTGCCCAAGGACACAACGGCTTTACAGACGCAGCGGGTTTCGAACTGGTGTTCCCCAACGCTCCCTTGATCAACGCACTGCGCCACTCCGCCCATCTTCACACCTCGAAGTCATCAAGGCACTTTACAAGTACACATTACACACATATCATACATGTAACTGTGGACAGTACCCACAGGAGCAAATTTGGGTGAAGTGTCTTGCCCAAGGACACAACGGCCTGACGCAGTGGCGGCGGGGGCAGGTTTTTCGAACTGGAGTTCCCCAACACCACCCTTGATCTGATGATCAACGCACAGCCCACTGCGCCACTCCGTCCCTATGAGCCATAATGTGTCATAGGCGTGCTTCTGTTGCCAATAAGGAATGGGAAACGCTGTGCATTCTGGGGCTGCCATTTGTGGAGGATGGCGTCCATGGCAACAGCAGCAGCCATCAATATATATGAGCGTTCCCAAGTCATCCGTCAGCGGTTTTGCATCCGAAATGAATAAAGTATGAAATTATTATAAATGCCGTTACAAAGAGAAGCTCTAGGCAGAAACAGAGGAGCGTTATTTAAAAAAAGGTTAATTAATGACATCTGTCTGTATGAATTAAAAATAAATAGAAATAACAGATCGATCACTGTTACTAATGTCAGTCCTCTCTGGTGTTTAGAGTTGGTGTGTACACCTGTGCGTAATTAAAAAATATGAACTATTTAGAGGACCATGTCAGGTTTACAACCGGGTGGATACAGGACCTTCGGATCTACAGGCAAAGACCCCTATAGAATCATTCTGCTAATGCTATGCTAACTGAGTGTTAACCAAACATCGGCATATCATGCATAATTAATTTTTATTTTATTTTTTATTTAACCTTTATTTAACCAGATAAAAGCATTGAGATAAAATCTCATTTTCAATGCTGACCTGGCCAAGAAGGCAGCAACGTTACACATAACACATAACACAAACATATAAAATACAGAGAACATAACTAAGAAAACAAAAAGACGAAAAAGCAGTGACTACATTGTGCACATTAGGACAGTAAGAAAGGTACACTACTTATTACTGCAAGAGCAGCTGGTGGTAAGGACTTCAGACAACTTCAATTTAAAACAGGCTATTGAGACAAGTGCCCTCAGTTTTAAGTTTGATTGAAGGTCATTCCAAGACCAAGGACCATAATAAATTTTTTTTTTTTTTTTAAAAGACTCCTTTTTCCAGTCTCAGTCCGCACAGCAGGTACCTGGAACCGTATAATATCCCAGTATAAGTACGTATACTGATTTTCCTTTCTATTTTAAAATCATTTTCCCAGTGTAGTGGTTTGTGTTAACCTGTTAAGCACCAAGCCTGTTTTTCATGTTTCAGGCTCGAAAATGACATGCCCAAAACAAATGACTACAACTTCTAAAAGGGTTATATGAATAATTTCTTTTATCAAAGCAAGGTTACATATGTGAGTTGGATGTAGAAGTGTCAGAATCAATATAGATGTTTTTTATTTTAAAGAAAATTCAGATTTTACATAGTAAAAAACTGTAAATTATAGTGTCCGTCCAAAAATTCTTTTTTACTTATAGTGAAAACTACCCTTGGATGATGGTAAGGTAGACTAAAAGCTTTAGGAATCCAAAGTACAACATATAATAAGTACCCTGTATCAAGATTGATGCAAAACAAGTGACATTTGACCTTTTTAGAGAGATTTAGCCAAAACCACTCCACCTCTGAGGTGATTTGGGTGAAAATGTTTTTTTTCCATATCTCTGGCCCCCATTGGTCGATTGTGATGGTTGACACCTCTTTCTGACCGTTAGAGCCAATAGAATCGAAGGGGGAAGCCCCCACACACACTCGTTGTGAAAACAAACGGTGGGGGCTTCGCGCATGCAGGTTTGCACCAGAGTGAAGCGATCTCTCGCTCTGACATTTGGAAACGAAAAAGCAGTTTTATTGCTTATGGATTATCAGAAATCATTTCAAAGAGGACACAGACACATTGGATTAACCTATGGATTAACTGCAGCATCGTTTTTTTATCGTTTTAATGCCATTGAAGACCAGTTTTGACCAAGGTAAGCCATGTTAGCGTTTGTAGCTACCTAGCTCCACATGTTCTGATGTACGCTTTTGTTTATAGCGTCGCAAATGTTTATCACTGAGTGTTGAGGTGGGCACCAAACGATTCTGTGTCTCCAGGAGATGCTAATCGAGGGGTTGGCTGTGCATCTAGGATAAGTAATAAGGGAGTTATGAGTGAGTTTAGGTGCAGTGATAGGTTACATTTTTTCGCTCGTGGCTAATTCAGAGGCTGAGTGTTAGCATTGTGGGTTTTTTTTGGAAAAAAAAATTTAAAAAGATCAGTTAGCTGAGTTTCTTCCCGTTACATGGATATAAAACATTCATAGTTTATTAAATATTAAGATTCCTTAGACGTTGTTTCCTGCAAATTACGCGTTTATCCGCCCGGTACCGGGGGGGGCGGTGCGTAACAGGTTAAGGCCCTGACACACCAAACTGACACCAAAGAACACGTCCCGACAGACCCGACTGTTGTGTCGCCTCACGTCAAAAGTCGCACTGGAACACACCGCAAAGACTTCAGCCGACGGCCAAGTAGCACGTACGCACTGCTTTAATCACACAGCGTTAAAGGTCCCATGACATGGCCATTTCTACTGATCATAATTCCATTGTTGAGGTCTACTAGAATAGATTTCCACAAGTCATTAAACAATGATCAAAAGCCAAAACACAACATATACAAATGTATATTTATCCGACACGTTCTGTCCCTATGAACAGCAGTTTTTATTGAAAAACTGAGAGGATAAATGCAGTCCGTAAATTGTCAGGTTGACCCATAGTTTTCAAAAAAGGAAGTACCTAAAGTATAAATAAAAGGCTTTATAAGTTGGTGTGCCATAGAAAGGGTGTTTTCATGTTATGCTGGATGGACAGGACAGATAACATCCTACTGCCTAATGTGCTGCCACCATGAATAATGACAGGAATGAAAAAGAGAGACACTTTTGTACCCAATTTCTGAGATAAAACACACAAATGTTTGATGTAACACTGCAGTAAGGGCCATGCTCCTGTTCTGTCTTTGATTGGAAGCCATGCCAGGCCATTTCTTGTATAATGTCCCAGTTAGTCATTGAGTGAACAGAAAACAGATCATTACCTTTTAAGATCAACTGAGACTTTTCAGTGGTCTGGGCCCCGCCAGGTCTGCTCACGCTGGCAGCTGCCATGACCCCACAGCTCTGAGAAACACAAACACACACCCACACACCCACACACACACCCACACACACACACATGATCAATAAAGACAGGACAGTTACTATAAATGTAATTAATAACCTAATCTGAGTATCAAAATATAAAAGTAATGTTATCTGATTACTTTCTGTTACATTTTGATTACCTCAATATCAAATGCAATGTATAGAGTAAAACTTACATTACAGGTATATTTATCAGCCTGATAAGAGACATTTCAATAAAGGCAGGACAGTGATTCCCCCATTAGAGTGCCAGGACTTTCATCAGACACTGACAGCATCACCTTGAGCAAAGTCAGAGATGGAGCCTGCTGGTTGAATGCAAAGAGGACTGCACACAAGGACAATATGCAGCAAAGCTGAGATCTAGTGTGGAGCTTTGGTTAATGCTGATCTTCACTGTGTATATTAAGAAAAGACACTAACATTAAGACGGGTTTGTGGAGGGGATCTGATCGTGTTTTCAGTGTAACGTTACTCGCTGCGCCACCAAGGTGACTGCTGCTGGCATCTCAGCCTGAGACCAGACCAAACCAAGAGATGCATGGTCAGATGGGACCTGGCCATAATAAAATCAAACCATTAGGTAATGTATGATCAACTAAATGCACACCTGAGAGTTGTCTCCGGGCTGTTACATTAGATCAAAGCAATGACAACAAAAGCGCACAACATCTCCCGTCAACCTTGCGAAATAAGCTTACCGGCTACGCAGCGTTAGCTTAATCCGTTAGTCAGTGGATTCTGGCTAAACTTCATACAGACTAATAACAATCCAACTCTCCCTGCTACACATTTTTCATTGTCTACGTATTTAAATACCCTTGGCTGCTGCGCACAAAACACAAACACGGAAGATGATCAAGGCATTTCTATTCACCACCGTCAAGCGGGGCAAAGAAAATATTGACTTCCTGTTGAGTTGTTCAAACTACAACTCAAGAGCCGATGATGCTAGATGTTAAAAACTATGAAATATCACACAAGTAACCACACATGTACATTTGGGGCGATTATTTACTGAAGGAAAATGGCATAACGTATCTCTATTCAATGTTGTTAACCACACAATGCATGTTATCGAACCACTGGCATTTGTTTTGAAAGGGAAGTCTCAACACATCCGGTCAGATGTGCCTAATTCTGGCTAGCTTTACCAATAATAGGCTAACTGTTAGCGAGCGAGCTTCGTAGGGGGATTTTACAAAAGGACATGACAATAAAAGCTGTTCTAATCATTTGACACCAAACTGAACCACATTGGCAGTTACGTGGTTCATGTCAGAACACCTATATCTACCGAAACACTCACATATTTGGCTTAAATGTAATCTTTCCCGTACCTTTTTCAGCTTTGCTCTGTGCTGCTGTCGCTACTGAACTTTCATTTCCGCCTCAGTGATAATATCACGTGACCCAGGGTATGTCTTTTTCATTGAACAAAGGATTGTGGGTCATAAATAATTGTAAACAACATCCCTTAATATTGACCCTTTTTATATTTCAAATCAGTTTATTTTGCATCACATACAGATAAAATAGAGTATAGGCCTACATCTAAATGAATTACACTATTATTAAATACATCTTAAAGGTGGGGTAGGTAATTTTGGAGAAACCAGCTCGAGATCGCTAGATTTTGAAAATACACAGCTGGAAGAAATCTGCTACTTCCTTACAGAGCCCCTCCTCCAACACACACGAACGCGCACATGACCAATGAGGGCACGAGATAAGTTTGTGCACAGATGGAAGGCTGACAGGCAGGTAGGCCATCCAGTTATTTTAGCCGGGCCAGCTAAAATGATTGGTCGTGCTTTTTACAGTACTACGGCTTCCACAGATGACATTTTTTAATGGATCTTTTTCCAAAACACTTAAGATATTCATTGCTATCGGGATGTTAAGAGCATTCCATGGAATATAACAAAAAGTGTATCTCGAGCCGGTTTCTCAAACTTAAACCTTTAAAGCAAGGAATTAATAGTCATGAAAACAGGAATGTAATGTATCCCAACATATATTCACTATTTAACACTTTAGTGATACATTTGGGCTATAAGTGACCATCAAAGTAATACCAAAAGAGAAACAAATAAAATGACAAACCAAAGGCAGCTAAGAGCCTATCAACATTAGAGATGTTATAGTCCAAGTGCAATGTAAGTCAAATGTTCACTGTCTATAACAAGTAGAAGTATGAAGCAGCAGAACATGGAAATACTCAGGTATAGAACCACAACACTGTTTTTAAGTACTTCAGTAAATGTATTAAGTGACCGTTCACCACTGTCTTACTATCCAGTGACACCTGGCCGTGACCTGTTGCCCTTTGATGTTGCGATGCATTAGATGTTCAAATGTCATATAATATTTTATATATATTTAATGTATTTATTGGAAAAAATATATGTTTCGCATTCCCTGCTCGTTTAAAAACACACATTTATTGTACAGACCCAATGTAGGCATCTGTTTTGGTTTGACATTGCTTTATAGACTGCAAGGATATGAATTATTATTTCAATTTCGGTCAACAGATGTCAATAGTTTTAACTCATAAAAGAGAGTACATGGAAATTAAAACGTAGGTTACGAGCTGACTATGTTTCTGAGTGATTCAAGTTAGCCATTTTGGCAATTTTTATCAAATGAAGCTACATATCCGACATAAAGTAGTCCCCCTGGTCTGATAAGCCTATGTCACCAGTTTAATTAACACATTTAATTTAAACGGTGTGTTACATTACCATGAGCTTGCATATTTGATGTCACTAACGTACCTGACAGCAGGAGAAATTAGGTGAAAGGATGTCAAACCTCAATGTGCAGGTGAGGAGAGAAGATGCATGAAGAGACTGAAAAGAGGATGACAAGAGAAACAAGTTCAATTTGAGTTCAAATACCGTCTGCTGGTTAACAACAGAATCCCAGCAATTTAGTTGCAAATAAACAAGCAACATTATAATATTGTAAAATGAGTGAAAACTGTAAGCAAAGGTCCAAATGGGATTTGTGAGGAGGGACTACTTTTTCAGCAGAAATCTTTTTTTTCCTTTATTTATTTAATGTCATTTTTTATTACTTTATATGTCTACCCCTGATGTGAACTTTTTAGTATACAATATTTATGATGTTCATATATGTTCTTGAATAAAAAAATCACTTCATAAAATCTCTGGTTGCTCTAACTTGTCTTTTAACTGATTTAAAAAAAGTGTATTTTGATATGCAGGGCACATATTTCCGTCAGCAAAACGCACCCTAATTGTCAAACTGATACAGAAAACAAACAGGTCGTCTAAGGCAATTAGCAACTGATGCTAATGTCAGCTAGCTGTCGTATTACATTTTCTGGTTTTGTTCCTTAGCTTTAACCAATCGTCACGTCGATAGGTTGTTATTCAGTTTGCTAGTAAGCACCATAGACAGTCTGGTACCAACATGTTATATATAATACAAATAACAATGTATAAGTGATTAATACAAATGCCTGCAAATTGTACTTAATAATAATAATGATAATAATAGATTTATTTTGTTAGCGCTTTTACAGGTGCTCAAAGACGCTTTACAGATATAGTGAAAAGAAAAGAACAACAAATAAATATATATAGTTAAAGGGCCCATGTCATGCTTTTCCGGTTATTACCCGTCCCCTTGTGTGTTATGAAGGTTTTTATGCATGTAAACGGTGTGCAGAGTCACAAACCCTTAAAGTACACCCTGTAGCGAGTAAAACTCTAACACAGAAAATACCTCCCCAAAACGCCTCGTTGGAGATACGTCATTGTCCATTTGATTCTTCCATTTCGTTCCGGGTACGGCATGATGTCAAGCCGTACCCGTAACGAAATGGACCAATCCGTGGAGCCGTTACGTTACGTCCGCGGAGCCGTTACGTTAAGCCCCCGCTGATTGGTCCAAATTGACTAATCCACGGACTTCCTCACACACACATCTGTGTGCAGGGAGTACTTTTTTGCCTTTTATTCTACATTTTAGTTGTACTGTGAATACTGTACTGTAAAGCACTTTGTACATTCGTGTTGTGAAGGGTGCTATATAAATAAAGCTTTACTTACTTACTTACTTACAGGCAGCTCTGCTGATTTCTCCTCCCTGGCTGCAGGCTGATAACAGATAACAGACAGCTCTGCAGACCCATTCTCACAGAGTTTATCAAACTTTTTCTTACTCAATATCAAGCCACACTTATTGTTGTAAATTCCCCTTGTTTTCCTTGATCTGCGTTATATCGTTCGTGTTTTAGTCAGGCACATTTAGGGACAGCTAAAGTAGTGCAGCTACGGGTCCTCGAGCTGGTTACACATGTGCGTTCATGACAGGACATTATTGCGGTCGCATCGTCACATGCATAATTACCATCGTCACAGAGAGAATGCGTTCGTGAAGAATAAACCACATTCATTCATTCTCTACTCTACGTTATCATTAACATCAACCCATTCAACATCCTGTATGTGATTCCACATCAAGCATGATGTATTCTGTGTTGATGATCAGAACCAAGCTAATATAAAGTCCAACGACTGTACTTCCTGTCTCCGTGTCAACTCTCTAACCGGAGTGCTGTTTTGGATAAAGCGGCTCCAGCACAAACATCACAAAACACATAAGATTCCCCAATACTTATTGTTTTTACTTCGGCTGTGACTTTGTGTGCGCTCAGGATGTGTTTGGCTGTGTATCGCTAACAAGGAAACAACACCTCCACGGAGCTCAGCGTGATTCACAACGTCCCGACCAATCAGAGCACACTGTGCTCACAGGGAGGGTGGGGGCTGGAGCTATTGGAGCTACAACGAGCCGTTAAAGGCAGATAGTGAAATTCAGTGAATACACGTAGTTTACAGAGATGCTGTATGAGAAACCAATGTGAGTTTGGAAAAATGCACAATATAAATCTATTCTAGTAGACCTCAACAATGGAATTATGATCAGTGGAAATGGCCATGACATGGGCCCTTTAAAGTTAAAGTCAAATAATACAAAAACAATCACACATTAAAAGCCAGATTGAAGAGGTGAGTTTTTGTGAGTTTTTGTTAAGGTGGTGAGGTCAGTGCAGTCTCTGATGGGTTGTGGGAGTGAGTTCCAGAGGGAGGGGGCAGCGACGGAGAAGGCTCTGTCACCCCAGGTCCGGTGATTGGTGCGGGTGGGGATGCATAGGAGATTGGCTTCTGATGAGCGGAGGCAGCGGGAAGGGGTGTGGTGGTGCAGCAGGTCTGTGAGGTAGACATCTTGCAGGCAATGGAGGCAGTGATTGCTGAAGGTGAGATGGATTTGAGATTTCTGTAGGTTAATGTGCGTTTTTGCTTTTGGGCGGGGATGGGGATGTTGATGTCCATGATGATGGCCAGGTGATCAGAGATGTGGAGATTGAGGCTGGACAGATGATGGATGGTGAGACCAGTGGAGCAGACCAAGTCCAGGATGTGACCACGGCTGTGTGTTGGGAAGTTGATGTGTTGAGAGAAGTTGCAATAGTGAAGGGTTTCCTTAAATTCAGAGGCATATTTGCAGGTCGGGTCGTCAACATGAATGTTAAAATCACCTAAGAGGAGAACAGACGGGGATATGGCAGAAAGCTGAGTGAGAATGTCAGAGAGGTCGGAGAGAAAGGAGGGGTTTGGCTTCGGGGGACGGTAGATGATGGCTGTGACCAGGGGAGTGGGACCAGAGAGTTTGAAGATCAGGTGTTCAAATGAAGAAACATCAGGGATGGGGATTATGGTAGTTTTTATGTCCTTTCTGATAATAGCAGCTATACCACCACCCCGCCCTTGTGGGCGAGGTTTGTCGATGTATGTGAATCCTTCTGGGGTGATTTGTGACACGAAGGGCTCTTTAAGAACTCAGATGCTCGATTCCGTTGCTTTGTAATATTCTTTATTATAAAGATCACAAAGCTTTTCAAAGTCTTCTAGGATCTACTAGGACATTCCAAAGAATCCTTAGGTTCGACTAGGTATTTACAACAGGTCTCTGGTAACAGGCATGGATCTCATGAAGAGACAAGGCGAACCAACACAAGACAAAGGGAGAGAAGGACTATATATACACACACACACACATTAGGTAATGAGGCACAGGTGGACACAATCAGGGGCGGGAACAACAATCAGTCTGACCGGTGACACACAAAGACAGGAAGTGCAGACACCTGGAAAGATAGAGCAGAGTCATGTCAAAATAAGACAGATAGACAAACACTAAAACCTTACAGTACCCCCCCTTTTAC